GAGAGCAGCCCTGAAGAAAGGGATCTGGGGGTTCTGGTCAGCAGCAGCTCAATGTGAGCCAGCAGTGTGCCCTGGCAGCCAGGAGGGCAAACCACATCCTGGGGTGCACCAAACACAACCAGCCCATCAAGAGGGGTGATTATCCTGCCGTATTCAGCATTGGAGTGGCCTCACCTTGAGTGCTGGGTGCAGTTGTGGGCCCCACAATTTAAGAAGGATGTGAAGGTCCTTGAATGCGTCTAGAGGAGGGCAACAAAGCTGGTGAAAGGGCTGGAAGGAATGTCCTATGAGGAGTGGCTGAGGACTTTGGGCTTGTCTAGTTTGGAGAAAAGGAGGCTGAGGGATGACCTCATTGCTCTCTACAGCTTCCTGAGGAGGGGAAGCTGAGAAGGAGATGCTGATCTCTTCTCCCTGGTATCCAGTGACAGGACACATGGGAATGGTTCAAAGCTGCACCAGGGGAGGTTTAGACTGGACATCAGGAAGCATTTCTTTACCAAGACGGTGGTCAAATGCTGGAACAGGCTTCATAGAGAGGTGGTCAATGCCCCAAGCCTGTCGGTGTTTAAGAGGTGTTTGGACAATGCCCTTAATAATATGCTTTAACTTTTGGCCAGGCCTAAATTAGTCAGGTGGTTGGACTGAAAGATCATTGTAGGTCCCTTCCAACTGGAATAGTCTATTCTAACATTGCCATAAGGGATTAGAGTTTCCCTGCTAAGACGCTTAGTGGTGAAAAAAGACTATGTGAATGGCAGGAGGGGTAGGGATAGAGCAAAGCACGCAAGACTGTGTAGCCTGAAGATATATGGCTGAAGATCCTGCCATTAGAAGACATGGTACAATATCTGCTAAGTCCTTCCGCAGTTTGTTTTGTTCTGGTGACAGCGGCCGCAACCTTAGCAGGGAAGGCCACAACTGAGAAAGAGTACAGCCAATGGGTAAAGTGAGGCAGGCTGAACTTAATGTAAGTGCTTCTGAGGTTCACCATGCATCAACTGGTTTGAAACCTAGATCTTTTCTGGGTTTTGGGGGTTTTTTTAGGAGAAGGAAGTTCTCCAAGTTGAAATGTAAACATGTTTTTCAAAAGAAAGCAAAAGAAGACTTAGAAACAGAGAGCTGAATGCTAACAAGCAACTCTGTTGTTGCTGTTCAAAACACATCATGCTGTTGTTCTCCATACTGGTTTATCCAGTCTGAGGTTTCATGGCTTTCTGCACCTTAGGCCAGATATCTGCTGCAGTCCTCTGAAGCTGTAATTATTACACCTTGTGCCTGCAGGGCACAACTGATTACAAAAGGGCCAAGCCTGAAAGCAGAGGAAGAAGCAAATCTCTGTCTTTAATGATTACCAGCAATTTATGAAAACTGTTTTTTTAGGTAGACCTGTGAATGTTTTGTATGGGTAGAAACAGTGAAAACTTAGGCATTAGCTTCAGAAGCTGTCTTGTGGTACAGAGTTTTAACTGAGAGCAAAACAAAAAAAAGACTCATGCGGGGGACAAGTGGTATTTTGTAAGAGTAAAACATCCTGGAAGTGGGTGAGGAAGCTATGTCAGAGACTAAAATTACCATCTATTAGGCAGTTTATATAGACGTGCTGGAGGTAGGCAGAGAGTGGATGCCTTCCTGCATTTACATTTCATTCAACATACATTTCCTGGGGAGTATTTTTTAAATTTTGAACTGATGCTATATCCTACTGCCAAGTTATTTTTCTTTTGAAGACAGATAGGTTACACAATCCAGTGCCAAGAATCTGTCAAGCAAGTCTGTAGCATCCTATTATATAGATAAAACAAAGGCAAAAAAAAGCAGGTCATTCTATTTTATTTGTTGAGCAGAGTCTGGTTTTGATGGCACTAGCTAATATTGAATCCAGTAAGAGTACACTCCTGAAGGCTTTGAAATTTAGTGCCTCCAGCACTACATCCTTTTTGGCAAGTAGACCCTGACGTTTCACATTTGGGATTTGGTGTACACTGAAAAACCAGGGTGTTAACTGAAAATACAAATGGCCATCTAAAATAGAAGGATAGCAGAGTCTAGGGCACTGGGGAAGGTAGAAGGCTGCTGTGATGTGGAGGTAGGGGCACGGAGAAGAACGAGGCTGGATTAAGGGATTTGCTTTTCTCTCCAGTACCCTGGAAGGTGTGGAAGAGTTTACCGTGTACTAATGCCTTGGATCTCAGTGAACCCTGACTAAATGACTGAAAAGAAATCCTGTGTGAGCATGTGCCTGTGTGGGCACACGTTTGTGTGCGTGTGTCTCTGCATGTGTGTATGCATGCACGCACTTCAGTGTAGTTAAGGGATTTGTCAGGTTGGTGGCCAAATGAAAGCAATTTTTTAAAAACTAGCACAGACTGGGCCAAAAGTTTTTCATTGTAACGTCAGCCTAAAGCTAAAGTCTTTCTAACCACTAATACCAGTCTAACAGCTTTTCTCTGCCAGGGGCCAGTAGCAGATACTTAGGAAAAGTATAAAGGAGTGTGTGTAAAGGAAAAGTATAAAGGGTGTGTATAAAGCACTACTTCTCCCAGTAGAGCTTCCCAATTTAGCAGTCTGTTGTTCAGGGACTTCCTAAACCAGATATGACATCTGTGTGATAGTTCTTCCTGGACCTATCTCCTGTGAATTTGATCAGGTTCTCTTTGAACCTATTTTTACCTTTGGTTTTCCCAGGATCCTGTGGCAATTTAATTACACGGTGTGTGAAGCAGTGCTTCCTTTTGCTAGATTTAAATCTCTAGGCCTCTAAGCCTTGCAACAGGCTGCCTTCCTCCCCACAGTTCTTGCACTCTGAGAAATGGTGAAACATCACCTAGTCAGGATTTCATAGGGTTCTCGTATGCCCCCTCAACCATCTGTTTTCTAAACCAAGAAATCTCTTTCCTCCTATGGAAGCCATACCATATCTTCAATGATCTTTGTCCTCCCTTTTGAACTTTTTCTGCTGTATCAGTCTGTAGCAAAATGCTTTGCTCTGCTTGTCAAAGGATAAATACTACCGAGCTGAAGAGTTCTGCTCGCTCCCTGTTTTTCAGTTTACTGGTGCATACCATGCAAAACCATGGTGGCATAACCATGGCTTTTGCATCGTTTAACAACACATGTTTCAAAAAAAATGCAAGCAGCAGGTGCTACATTAAAATGTTTGTATTCAAAATTATTTGATATTGTGGAATATCAATGAAAGGGAGTGAAATGGTGCCCAGCATCCAGCTTGGCTGTCTCCTCAGCACCTTCATTGCTGCTTGAGCTCAAACTAAAAATAGAACTGGTAAGGGCAAAACAGCCAAAATATCACAGGGAAATGGGTCCTAACACTGGTTGCAAGAGTAAATGTGAGATTGTAAACAAATTAGAAGCGAAGTACTAGCTGCATGAGATTAGTAAGAAGGCGTGGGAATAATCTGTCCCTATTCAGTTCAAAATGATGTTCATTCTGAAGCCTAAAATTTACTAATTTAAGTAACATCTACGTTAATACTTTATGATTCTACCTTCTTCATCTCCTTTCATGATGGGGCAAGACAGGTGTCTGCCTCTTGTATTTTTCCTGTGTTCATCTGTGCATCAGTTTCTAGAGATACCCCGACTCTCTGTAATTATTTGTCTGCAGATTTTCCACTCATTCCCTCCACAATTTACTGCTTGTCATATCTGCTCTCACTACCACCCCCTGCAAAAGTATTAGGTGTCTCTTACTCCTTACACTTCCCTCTGCTCCTTCTCTGTCAGCATCTTCACCTCAGATGCCTTGGACTGCAGAATTTGGAGTGCTGTTTACTTAAAAGGAAGAAGACCCAAACCCAAAGCCCCAAACCTCCTCTCTCCCCTGCTTTTTTGCCTTTACCCTCAAGGTTTGCTCTTTGCCCTCAGAGGCTCCAACACAGGGAAACTATGCAAGGTGAAAGGAAGCTACCTCCAGGGTAGCAGCCATCACGATGAGGAGGGGACGTGGAGAGGGAGGTGCTGATCTCTTCTCCTTCATATCCAGTGATAGGACGTGTGGGAACGGTTCAAAGCTGCACCAGGGGTGGTTTAGACTGGACATTAGGAAGCACTTCTTTACTGAGAGGGTGGCCGAATGCTGGAACAGGCTTTCTAGAGAGGTGGTCAATGCCCCAGGCCTGTCAGTGTTTGGACAATGCCCTTGACATCATGATTTAACTTTTGGGTAGCCCTGAATTGGTCAGGCGGTTGGACTAGATGAGCGTTGTAGGTCCCTTCCAACTGAAATAGACTATTCTGTTCTATCCTAGTCTATTCTAGTCTATGGTCAGCGACTGAGAATGCTAGCTTTGGTGAAAAAGAGATGACCATTTTGAAACTGAGGGTTGTATGTGAAAAACAAGCTGTCTTAACAGTGGGAATGGGCGCTAAAACTGTGAGAGGTGGCAGTGGTATTTGCAGAAGTAGTAAACTAGCAGGTACATAATTATGAAGAGTAATTCTGAAGAAGCAATACAAAATATTTATCTGGGTTAAAAATACCTATCTTTATAAATGGAATGTATAACATTACAGAGATAGCAAACTCATTGGTATTACTATCTTATCAGTCTTGTGTATGATTTGTAAATGTGGCTTGTGAGTTTGAGTGTGCAACTTCAAAGAGGTGTGAGTTTTAAAAGTTGAAAGGTAAGTCACTTCTTAAAATTGGGCCCCTTTAACTTTTCATTAATTGGTAACTTAAAATCCTGAGCTACTGACACCATTAGCTATCTCTTGAGCTAGCCTCTGGCTTTGTTAAACCACACAACAATTAGGGGTATTTGCCTATATAAACAGTGAGCTTGCATGGAAAAAAGAGAGATGTTTGGTTGTTGTTGCAATGAGAAAAGAAGTTTATGCTGATCATTTCAAGAAAAAACACCTGAGTGTAGCCTGAGAGCAGTGACTGCTGGTCTTAGGAGGAGTGGCAGAATAGGTCCTTTCTTACCGAGTTACCTAGAAAAATCATTCTAAACATTTTATGTTTGTGCTCTCCAAAGCTTTCGCAGGTTTACACGATCCAATAGTGTAACAACAGCCGTACAAGCAGACCTGGATTTCCATGAGAACTTTGAAATAATCGACCCTCAAGAGGACAATACATGTTCTGGACAAATATCAAGACAATTTTCCCGAGATGCAAGTACCTCTACCGTTAGCATACAAGGGTCAGGAAACCATTACCATGCATGTGCAGTGGATGATGACTTTGATACAGATTTTGATCCATCAATTTTACCTCCTCCTGACCCCTGGATTGACTCTATCACGGAAGATCCTCTGGAAGCTGTTCAAAGGTCAGTGTGCCCACGAGATGGCCACTGGTTTCTGAAGCTACTTCAGGCAGAGAGAGATCGTATGGAGGGCTGGTGCCAACAGATGGAGAGAGAAGAACGGGAAAACAACTTACCTGAGGACAGTAAGTAACTGCGTACAATAATATTGCAACTACAAAAAAGTATTTGATATAGGTCAACTCTACTCCAGTGAATTCTGTATCATGCCCTTTCTTATTTAGCTAATGAAGCTATGGTTGTGATTCTCAAAAGGACTGTGTGTATGTATATAATAATCCTTATTAAAGTTGACAGGGAATGCAAATGCTCGGCACTTCTGAGACTCCAGAGGTATTAGCTTTTGGGATTGCATAGTTCAACGGATAATTAGGAGATCATGGTTAGGGTTCTTGTAGTATTAATATTTCTTAACTCTTCCATTTGAATCACTTCTCATAACCTTAGAATATAATTGAACAGATTCTAGTTCCTTTTCATTAAATTCATATTTTAGCTGCCTTTTTAGATGGTGATTGACATCAGAGTCTTCAGATGCTTCTCCCAACTGAAAGGGATTTCAGCTGAGCTTCCAAGGTGTTCTCCCTCTCTTCCCTTCTCCAGTCTCCCCTCATCTCCCTTGCAGTTCTCATTCCTCTTCGATCTTCCTGGTAAAACAAGCTCTCCATATTCTGTGATAAAAAACACACACATGCAAACTACATCTCAGTTGTCACCTTTCCCAGAAGTATTACCCCACCTGTAAGGTAATGGGAATGTCTAGTAAGCCTTCATTAGTAAGAAGGGTTGGGTAGCTCATGACTTACTCTTTCATTCTAATTAGGGAAGAAGAGCTGAACATGTGGCTCTCTGTCCAGAATTTTTGCTCCCAGGAAAAATGGAAGTTTTTTCCATTTAATTCCATTACAAGGAGCAGTACTATAGATAGGTGTCAACTTGTAGACATAGGTAAACCTCTGAGCTTAGGGGCATTCACTCCTTGTGAATTAAGCTTTTTCAAATTCTAGCAGGGATCTTCTAGAAAACACTAAGGAGCAGCTGCATATGGAGAGTACAAAATTCTATAATTTAGACACACCTAAGCCTATTTTCCTGGATATAGCAAATAACAGTTTTCCGACCCCCAAATTAGCTCCTACCAAAGCAAGGACAACTACTTCAGCTGCAGGATTGCTTCTTCCAAATTTTTAACCCTTCCTCTCAAGAACGGAGGTGCTAGAATTCTTTTGAGATGTGAAGGTTTTGATTTATGGAAGGAAAGGAGTTAACACTGGTAAAAAAATATATTTTTTTAAAATTCTTAGAAATGCATAATTCGTTTCTGCTGGAACTTTCCATTCATCCCAATGAATGAAAAAACCATAGAGAAGTTCGATCTAGATAGTTAAAGTTAGACACTATTGTAAGCAACTGGAAATTGACTTCTAATGGAAAGGATGAGATAACCTTAACATTAACATATGTTAAGGTTTTCTATTTCTACAACATTTCTGTTACATAATAGGCTAACAATTTCTTCTGAGGGAAAAATACAGAAGGATTAGCCTTCAAAGCAGATCCAGATTCCCCAAGTTTTAGAGTATTTGAACCTCATTTTTAATTTACATCATCTATACATTCAAAAATCTCTTTGAACATGTATCAGAATACAAAGGTTTTCTGTGGTTAGTATGCAAGAAATAAACCCCATGAACTAAGAGATTTTAGACTGAAAAAGAAGTGTGAGCACGTAACAAATAGGAAATACACAACATTTGCAAGTCCAAGCCACAAAACCCACTTGCTTTCTCTTTGCCACAACAACTTAGACTGGACATAAGGAAGACATTTTCTATGATGAGGGTGGGGAGGCACTGGAACAGGTTGCCCAGAGAAGTTGTGGATGTACCATCATTAAAAGAGTTCAAAGTTGGGTTGAAGGGGCTTTGACCAACCTGGTCTAGTCAAAGACATCCCTGCCCATGGCAGGGGGAGTGGACTATATGATCTTTAAAGGTGCTTTCTGACCCAAACCATTCTATTAATCTATGATGCTATGAAGAGATAATAATGGAAAAACCTACAAGTATTTCATTTTTGCAACGAAGTAGTTATTCACCTTAGGAAAAGAACATGAAGTGAATTTTACAAGGCTTATACCTGCAGAACGTGTATATCCATGTACAGAAGTTTCTCTCAGTGTCTTGGTGTCTTTGATATATGATAGTTTTAAAGGGCTCTTCTTTGAGCAATCAGTGGGAGAAGTCAGTTATGGGGAGGATAAAGGAGTGGTTAGGCTGGCTATTCCCAATGCCTCCTTACAGAGCACGTGGCATGTGTCCTGCAGATTATTCCTTCTCTTCATTTTTCTGATTGGCACTTCTCATGATTGCTGGAAACTGGAGGAGGAAAGGGGTCACCTGGCTTTTGTGGTCACTGGTGAGGTACTGATTTCAGTACGATGCCGTTGGCCGCTCCGGCACGTGGCAGCTGCCTCCCACAGAGGCTGCATGGGGCTTTCTGCTGCAGCTCAGCACGCCTTGCTCTACCTGGTGCCAAGGAACAGCATATGGTCGGGGCCACACTGCCCACTCAGCAGCACCAGAAACAAAAGCCTGGCTGTTACGAACCCTGCCCCAAAATACATCTTTTTCATACGTCTATAAACTTTGAAGAGAGAGAGGAAAGAAGCAGAAGAGGTGTGTTTGCTTTGGTTTTCCTAATGAAATATAACCAGAGCAGGGAACGCATCCTTTGTTTTCAACCTGACATACCCAGCATGTGTTTGGCCAGATAACAAAATAACGAGAACGTGTGATGAGCGAGGTTTTCTCGATGCCATGGCAGCTGACAGAGGGCTCGTCCCCCCGGCGCTCCGCGTAAAACGATCCACGCTTCCTCCAGACAATGCGGCCCTTGTGCGAAACAGCTGTCTCGGGGAGACGGCTCGCTGCTGTTTGACAGTAGCTTGTATGTTACATAGATACGTTGGGTATTATCTAGCTGGGAATGAATCTACCAGATGGGATTGAATGTTTCTAGCTGGGAAATGGAGTCTGCTGCTGTGTATAAAAACAAGCTGTGGTTCAGTGGCTGCACGATGAAATGCCAATATAGAGAGAAATGTGGCTCCCCTTCCACCATGAATTATTTATTGTATAGTATATTCTGGTTTTATCTGAAATCATTTTCTGATAAAGCTGCAGCGTGTGTAACAGGCAGATGAATACCACTCACGCTTTAAGCTAGGATACTTGATATGGTTTCTGTGTATTTTGCTGTTGCAGGGACGTTGGCTACAAACTCTAGGGCTCCCATAAAAAAAAAAAAGATGTTAGAGATATGAGGCTAAACACCTTGTGAGAATTGACTGATACTATGGATCAGGCCTCAAGTGAAATAAATTGTTTACCTTTTTTTTTTTTTGGTTTTCTCCTCAACCCTCGGCTCTACCTCCTCGGCCTGGCTTTTGCTGGATTTTTTGCTGTTGTTTTTATTTCACATGGGGTATTAACCTTTCTGGAAGAACCAGAGGGCTTCATTTTGCCCCCCTTTAGAAATGTTTCGTTTTCACACGAGGTTGTAATGTGGCTTCAATGCGAAGATAACCATCAGAAGCAAAGAGTGGGCCTGATTCACCACAAGTCAGGTGTAATGTGGGTTTAGTGGCAAGACAAGTCAGGCCAATCAAGTAAAAACTAACATAGAAAACCAAGGCTCTGACAAGACATGTCATTATAACTGTTTTGTGTGTATGTTATACTCCTCTGGGCTAGTCTGCGAACAAAGGTTGACCTCAAATCTGCAGTAACCTCGCTGCTTAGGACCAGAGTCTCTGCAAATGCAGCCAGTTCCGGCAAATTATGCAATGCTTGCACACTTTCTGCTGTTTTGGTTTGTTTTGATTGTTTCAAGAGTGAAGGCTAGACGGAAGAGAAGAAAGGTAAGGAGAAGAGATATTTTTCATAATAGTTGCACATGGCAAAAGAAAAGGAGACCCATGAGTTCATTCTCAGCCACAAGCAAGGAGAACCATTTGCCAGTCCTCTGCAGGGCTTCCCCAAGCCGTCCTGGTCCCTGCCACTCAGAGGTGCGAGGCAGCCTCGTCCCGCAGCCTTGCAGAGGGACGGTCACCAGCCTGATGCGTGGCTGAGTCCCGCTGGAATCCCCTTGGCTACATGCCTCTGTCTGCCTGCCTGACCTGTCCTTTTCTTCCTCCGTTTTTCTTTTTCTCCCCAGAAGGGACTTATCCATCTGCAAGGGTTTCTCCAAGGAAAGCCAGCTCTGGGCTGGAAGCCCTGCCAGTGTCCAAAGGCTAGCAAGGAAAAAAGAGAAATCTGCATGCAAGGAAACAATATAGTTAGGGAAAAAACATGAAGTGTGCTAATAAAAGCTGAGTAAGTCAGCGTACACATGGAAACTGCTTTACTCCCAGTGAACAGCATTTACTCATGCAGACAGCCCTATTAATTTCAGTGAGATCACTCCTATAAGTAAATATGACTCAAAGCAAGGACTGTCCCTTCCATAGCTTGCTCCATTTGGCTGTTTTCTCCTTAATAGCTGGGCTTAAGACCTGAGCATTAGCTTTAACTTTGAATTTCCTGGCTTTTGTCATGCTTGGCGTTATTTAAATGTAGGTCTGTCAACATGAATAGGCTAAAACGCTGGTCCATCCTGGCTTGGAAATGGATTGTGACAGCTCTATGGCAGGATTTCTTCATATGCACAGTGCCCAGCCAACATCTGCAACGCAAATGTCAGGCTGTGTCCCTGTAATTTCGGCTATTGTTCCTGCCACTTGCTCCTGGGGCAATGAACAAGTCGCTGGTTTTCTGTTCCCTAGCTTGCGCCCTGCCTACCAACCAGGTATTTTCACATTAAGGGCATTTGACAGTCACAGTTCTAAAGTGCCTCCTTTGTCACTTGTTAGACCCTGGGGCCTGTCAAAGTTGAAATGCAAAGAGATCAGTTGGTGTTTTAGGGCCAAATAATGCTGCTGCTCCTCAAAACTCCCGTGGCTTCTATGTATGTGATGACTTTTCACATCGCTTCAGGTGGTTTTTGTTGTTGTTTTCTTATATTTTGTTATCTTCATTACACACACAGTCTCCTTCCAAGGTAGAGCAGATGACAATATCACCAATCTTTGCTTGTGTTTGAAATTCCTTTTTTTGTTGTTTCATTTCTTTTCCCATGAAAATGGGAGGAGACGGAGGAAAAACATAGAGCTCCACAATCCCAAAGTAGGTCCTATGCAGTTCTTAGAACCAAGAGAAGCAAGAACTTACTGCTTGAACAGCGTGTAGTCTAAGTTTGTATTTAAGAATGTTTTAAAAGGAGAACAGGTTGCGGGATTAGAGACACAAGGAAATTCACCGTCATGTGTCTATCCCAGAATAACATTCTGCGACCCCCTAGTCAATAATAAAAACTCACTAATAGTGAGGAGGCACTCCACAATAGCTGAATTATATCAAAATAGCTATACCGAAGCAGTTCTTCCAGAATAGTCATAACTGTCTGTTTCTTAAAAGTTGTCACAGGAGAGAACTGGATTTACAAGGAAGAGAGGTCAAAGCCGGGGGGGGGCGGAATTCAAACTATAAAAACAAAACACTGCAGTAGACACACTTCTCCCCCTGGGGAAGGGGTGACAGCAAAGCATATGATGGATGTTAATAATGTTGCTTAATGCATTACTGGAAGGCATTCAGATCCGACAGTGCCGAGTGTGCTATATAACCCTGTATGGAATAGAAAGCAGACATGAATAACATTATATAGGTGTTTAAGTCTGTTATGATTGCATCTTGATGGGTCGGTATTTTTTGTTGTTGCTTGGTTTTACACATTTTGTTTGTATCCTATTAGCTGAACACATCGATTTGAATGTTTATATGTTTTTCTCCTGCACCCATCTCCCTTGCTGTTAAAGATTTCTCTAATTCTTTTCTTACGTATTTTGAGCATTATCTTTGCAATTCCACTTATTTTCTTGGTATTTGGCTTCAAACCTCGCAGGATTTTCTCCTCAGAAAGTATCAGTCTATTTTTACTTTTTGTTTTTTTACTACACCTTGGCCTTTCTCTTTGGCACCGGAGGTTTTGACTGAATAAGCAAAATGAGCACTCTGCCTTGAAACACTAAAAGCAACATGCATTTGGAAGCAAAACTATTGATAAGGCTTTGTGCCTTCTGGAGAGATTCCTTTCAGTCTTTTGCATGTTTTGTCTTTCCCCCCCCCCCCCCAACTTCCCTGACGGAGTTGGTTGTTGACTGGTTGCACATTAACAGACCGCTTGCTTTTGAGGGGCGAGGAATCAGTGACACTTGACTAGATACAGCCGCGGCTACAGCAGAAGTGGCAACAATAGAGAACAGCATCAGCATGCATCCCACAGTCAGCTGGGATGATGGTTTTTAGGCAAATAGCCAGTCGCTAGGCAGCCAAGGACAAGGACTTCCTTTTCCCTCTGCTGAGATCTCTGAATATTAAGCTCTTCTTCCCTCAAAGAAAGGGGCACATTCCCATCCATCACCAGCAAGGTGTGTTTACATTTCTTCGTGCTTGGGACATGATTTCCAACTCGGGTGGTGCAGGTTTCCAAGAAGAGCGTGCCTCGTCTTTTTTTTGTCCTGAGAAGTCAAGAGACCGTTTTTTCTCCCCTTCTCAAGTCTTGGGAAGCGTCAGAGTGGCCGAGCTCCAGATGAGGCAGCTGTTCCCAAATATACTCAGTGGGAAGAGTTTTCATAACAATGGGAACCACATGAAAGCTCCCGGAGTAGCTCCTCCTACTATTGAAGAGTCCTTTCAGTTGAGTGGTTTGCATATTGGGTTGCATAAATGACTAGACACACCAAGGGGTCCATTTTCAGCACTGTGCGCATAGAATTAGACACGCAAGCCTTGCTAACAATAATGAGAGTTGTGTGCAAAACTCCCTGCGCAATATGCTGAAAATATTCTGCTTAGTGAATCTTCCAGCTCACGGCTATTTCCTGGCAGTGCTGAGCTGAGTTCTGGGAACAAAATGAAAGTCTGCGCTCTGTGTGTGTTCACAGAGCTCTCTCCTATAGTTTCTTAAAAAAAAGTGAAAAGACTTTCTCTTCCCCCACACCCTTTTTTTTTTCCCCTTTGTATGTCTAAAGTATAAATGAACTCCACATCCCACTCTTCCTTCAGCAGCCTTAAGGAGCAAGCTTTAAGGCTGCTGAAGGAAAAGGCACTTGTCTTGAAGGAGCAGAGCACAGATTTTGTACCACTGTGTGTCTGTTTTCAGTTCATCATGAGTGTTTGTGCCAGTTTGCTCAGTGTGTGGCTACGTAAGTGAATCCCTTGGAGAGGCCTTTCTCTTACCAAACACTGCATGGTGGCATTCTGGTCACAAGCTGCTGGCATGCACTGCGGCTGGTAACAGGACTGTGAGACCCTAAAAATCTTGTCAGAAGGGCTTATATCAAAGTTGTATTTATTTATTTATCTATTTATTTATTTTTCACTGTGGAAAGTCAAGACACTTAGTATATTCCCAGTGAGGCTCTGCTAACATTGTATTAGGTTTTATATAAAAAGTGACCGTGCCCAAGGGATGGTACAGAGGATGGCAGCTTAGGACTAGTATCTCTTCTAGGTTCTGCCAACAATTCACTCACCTTGAGCAGGCCACTTCATTTCTTTGTTTTTCCTGTTCCTCCCTCACCTGCCTCAGGTATCCAGACTGTAAATTTGTCACAGAGACGTTGCTGTGTTTATATGAGGGCTGGGACAATGCAAATACCTATGAGTAGAAATGATAGTGAAAATCCTGACACAGTGGCTGCCATTCATGTTTTTCAGTAATGAAGTGGTAAATATTTTTTTATTAAATTAAATTAATTTTAAAATAAATATTTAGCAAAGAATTGGGGGATAATAAGTTGCTTCGGCTGAGAGGGAAAATTACTGGTGGAGCCAGATACATCCGTGATGCCAGCCTGTTTATTTAAAGACAGTGCATAAAGCATAGTTGCTGTTCGTTTTCTTCCTGAGAACTGAAAGTCTCAAACAAACCACTAGCTGCTTTCTTGCTCACAGCATCAATTTTCTTTCAATCAGCAGTCCCGAAAATCTCATTCTGTTTTCTGGATTCACTGTCCTACTGCCAGTTGAGGCCATGTCTGTCTTTCTGCTGTGCTTCTGCATGCTTGCTTCCTTTTTCACACATACACATACACACGCACAAACACACACACACACTCATTCCCCTTTGACCAGAACTCAGCAAAAAGGGAGATGCAGGTCTCTGAATGCACCAGTGTATGCCTCGGTTTCAGGTAGTGTATTCTCAACTACCCCTTGCAGCAGTAAACCCCCTCTGTTTCAGTGAGATTGAATGCAAACAAAACAGTATGAGCTCCTGTTTTATTCAGAGGCATTTACTATGTATGGGCTGTCTTCTGGTTCACTGCAGTCCTTCACAGTACTCCGTCAGTCCAAAGAGACCAAAAGTGCCCAGCTGTCTGTACAAAGGAGTCCCCAGACAGCGCAGGAGCTGGGCTAGGACTCTTTGACACCTCCCTCCAGGTCTTCAGCAAGGAGGAGAGGCCAGGGTGTGATGGCTCCCTGAAGTATGCCTGGGCATCCTGATTCAAAGGCAGAAGCCACTTCAGAATGTGCTCATGGGAAATACTCAGAGGGTCCGAATAAGAGTCATCATAGAATCATAGAATGCTTTGGGTTGGAAGGGACCTTCAATGTGCATTAAAATCACCATTCCCTTTCTGCGGCTCAGATCGAGCAACACTCGGCTAAACCTGAAAATAAGGTGCTGAGTTACTAAGCGAGATGGCAGAAGTGCTGGTAGACACAGTGTTTTCCAAACGGTGTAGGTGGCATCACAGGGTTTGAAAGCCACATGTCCTTGTGCAGGGAGCTGGGTTTGTATTCAAAGCCTGAGCCTGGGTCACAGCGATGACAAGAGGTGTAATTTCTGGAGAGCTTTCTATACAGGTTGTAAAAGCTTTTGATTAGCATATTTATACTGCCATAGAAGTGCTCTTTGCTGGTTGGAACTGGTCTTACTCGGGGAATGAGAGTACACTGCAGTAATAGATGAGTATTTTTGCCAATGCAAGCTGCCCTGGGAGCCCTTGCAGTACGCCTTTGCCTGGTGCAGATCTGGCGTCAGATTTATCAGTTTCTCTGTAATCCATGACTGAAAGATAACATGCTTTTTGAAAGCCAGAGCTGACTACTGCGCAGCTTTCTCCTCTCTTTTTATAGGCTTTTATTTGCTTGCAGCAAAGAAAGCATCGTGACTTACATTTCTTGTTCTCTCAGTTCTAGGGAAAATTCGAACTGCGGTGGGCAGTGCCCAGCTTCTCATGGCCCAGAAATTTTACCAGTTCAGAGAACTTTGCGAAGAAAACCTGGTATGTAACTTTTCTGATAGACACAGCTGTGTGCCTTTTACTAACCCTGTGAATCATCATACCTAAACTAGACATAGTTTCTGACTAACACAGTAATTTTTCCAGTGAAGGCCTTGATATGAATTTGGGAGTAACTCTGTCAAACTTGGTGGAGTCAGCATGAGTTTCACAATAGCTTGAGATCCTTAAAATAAAGACAGGCAAAAAGCTTTGGGTGAAATAACACTGAGGCTCTGCTACTGAATTCAGAGGAGCAAGGATCTGTCCCTTGACCTCTGAGTTCAGTCTACATGGGCACGGAGATGCGTGGGTGCCTCCTTGGGGTCTTTCAGGGTGGACCAGAAGTCTCACGAGTGGGGCTTTCCCATGTAATCCCAATGCCACCTCTATTCAGCAAGACAGAAATACCAGGAAATCAGATGCTGAAAGTTGGTGCCTCATGTTCCACAACCCCAACAGTGAAAGTCATTTTCCAGAGTGCTAAAAGGGCAAAGAGGCAAAGAGCCAGTATGTTATCACTATTATTACTGTATGTAATTGGTATATGCTACCACTGTTGTTATTATTTTCTATTTTTATGCTTAGTAGTAGGAGAATCAGAATGATATTCCTGTTGATAAATAAAAATACATTTCACACCATGTATCTAAAGCAGTATTCTCAAAAATTCCAGCACTTAGAAAAATTTTCAAACTTTTTAATTAGCAGTCCGTCCTTGCAGAGTAAATACAATGCATTTAATTCCCAATTTTGGCATGGATTCCTAGAAGCCCCAAAAGCATAGAGCATTATGCTCTATCAGCATAGAATAGGGAAGGGAAGGCAAACACTGTGATACTCACCAGAGTGGGGTGACCATCTTCTGCTTTAGTTAATGCACCTCTGGAAATCAAGCCCCCAAACTAAAATCTGCCTCAGTGGACAAATGCAACAGAAATTGGCTCTGTCTAAGCTTTCCAATTCCTAATATAAAAATTGAAAAAGCATTCTGGTTGCACATCTTTATAAAAAAAAAGCCTACAACTGGGCAACCTGCTGATGTCAAGCACTGAAAAACTAGGAATCCAAGTATAATCTCTGGTCTCCATATGAATCTAAAAATATATACTTTATTGTTTTCAGTAATTGCTGCTTTGGTGGTACAATCATCCTATCAAAATCACTTGTCAGTGCTGCTGTGAAAAGCACAAATAGAAATCTCTTAAGGCAAGCAACTGACTCTTTTGGGTTTATTGCTTCTGGTGAGGGAGAAGACTTAAACACAGAGTAAAACTTGAGCTATGCAAAAAAGCATGAAGGGGTCTAATAAGAATGTATTTATTCTTTATTAATAACAATGTATCAATGTAATCTTATGAGGCCACAGCAGCCATGAAACCTTGCTGACTCAGATTGGGATAGGGACTGCTCAGCATTTACGAAAAACATCTTGAAGTGAGTGTATGCAACGTCTTATTTTATTTGAAGAGTTTCAATAGGAAACCAGCTTACAGATACACATCCTGTAGAAAGCTTTCCCTCATACAAACTTTGACAAAGCAGCAGGGGCCATTTCATACGTGTCCACTGCATGCAGAAAATGTTCAGAGCTGGGTTGCGCTGAAGGGACACAAGACAGCACAGGACCTTTCGGGTCACCAGCCTCTGGCCCGTGCTGTGCTAGAGATGCTAATGGTCCAGGTGTGCTCTTCTGTGCAATACTCCGGGGCTGATGACCTGGACTGAGTTATCACACACAAAGCAACACTCCCCACCTGTGTCCCAGTCTCACTCTTCCCAAAAGTGAGCCTGTGAAAATGGGATTGCTGTGCTTCTGCATGTTCTCTTCCGAACTTCGCACCCTGCAGAGGTTATTCTTATCAAGAAAAAAATTAGAAGAAATTGGCCTGAGGTGTGTAAGAGGCAATTTTACTTGAAATGGTTTATTTTTGTAGCGCTTAGATTCTCAGGGTGTGGAAGTGTTCACGCAGTCTATCGCTATTTGCCCATGCAGCAAATGTACATTTGCACAGGTATCAGTCTTTCTACAAGCACGAACATGGCAGGGAATCCTTCTTCATGAAAGTGAAGAGGAGGCTGGCAGTTAATTTCAGTGTGGTTAGGATATCACCCTTGATCCCGGGAACATCCTTAGGCAGATCCTGTCACAGGGGACCTGCCACGTGCCCTTTCCCCGTGGTCCGTGTCAGGTAGATGCTGCCTTCGGTGAGCGGGGGCTTGCGGGGGCACGGCAGCTTGACACCGAGCCAGACTCCTCGCAAAAACCCCCACCAGTAAGTAGCACTCCTCTTTGTTTCTCTCTCTGTGTCTCACTGATCACTTGGATCTGCTGAAACTGCTTTGCTAGCGAGATTCGTAACCACTTGCACAAATGCTTTACATTAAGAGGTACTAAAGCCAACATGTTTTTTTTCTTCTGTTGTACAGAATCCTAATGCACATCCACGGCCGACCTCCCAGGATTTAGCAGGGTTTTGGGATATGCTGCAGTTGTCCATAGAAAATATTAGTATGAAATTTGATGAACTTCATCAGTTAAAGGCCAATAATTGGAAACAGATGGATCCTCATGACAAGAAGGTAGAACATTGTAGATTTTGTATGCTTCATTTAAAACCCTGCACAAATACTGGACAGATTAAATAGGCCTCTGTGTTACAGTGTTGACGTTAAAAATGTGAAATGAAGCTCATATCAAATTAATTTCATTGTAATAACAATGTTTACATAATAATCATCTGGGATATTATCTGTAATATGTTTCAGGCATATTTTTAAACCAAATCTGTCTTTGTGAATCGGATAATGGGAATGTGGTACTTTGTTAAGCTTTACATTTAATCATATTAGACGATCAATCGTTGGAAGGAACTGCCTTATATATTGATTCTTAAAATTAAATAAATCACATTTACGGTTCATATTATTGCATATAGCAAGAGTTCTAGGTTGTGTTACTGAAAAAACTAGGGAAGCGCTGTAACCATCGCTGACTTTGGTAACCAGATTACAAACAGAGCGATATCAAAAATATGCCTTCCAAAATGTTACATGAAAGAACTTCTACATCTTTTTTTTTTTTTGTCCGTTTGTTTGGCTTTTGCTTATTTGGGTTTTTTTTTTAATGGGTTATTTCATAACCAGGTTCACGTTGCTGGTAGTGTTGTTTACCCAAGGTAGCATAAAAATCATCTGGAGCTTTGGTCTTTTTTTTAAATGTAGTCTTCTTCTGTCACCATGAAAAACTACCATACCTCCAAGTGTAAGCCACATTTCACTTTCCATTCTCATTTGGCACCATTGCCTTATTTTTCTCCTCACTATCTGCATCGAGACAAACAGCACTTGCGTGAGCCAAAATACACAAATGTTTCAGAAAATCCTTAAGAGACAGACCCATTCCTAGAGGAATCAACAGTCTAATGTCGCGCTGCTATAGGTATGTAATTTGATGGCTGAAGTTCCACTGTGGCTGGTCTGATACCAATGAATAGAGCCCAACAGGTAGGGTCACCAGAAGGAGGGGCAACGTGACTTACAGGTACAGTGGCTCAGACAGGAGTCCGGGCTGCCCCAACTTACGGTCAGCTGGCTGCCGATGACCAAAGCAATGTTTTCTTTCGGGCAAATAACCATAATAATATCAAACCCCATTAATCTTGCAGCAGGAAGTTTGCAAAGGCAGTGCTGGTAGCACTCTCCCTCCTCCTCCGATCAAGACTAAATACTCATTCCTGACTTAAGAGTGCCATGTTCACACCATTTGTGCACACCTAGTGTGTTTTGTAGGGGAATGAATGGGAATGTGTTTTCCTAGCCCAAGGTACTGAAGGCAAGTCATTTTCTTATCTTCTTTTTTTTTTCAGTATCTGTCAGAAAAGGAGGTTAAAACCGTCAAACATGCATGCACAGAAACGCTGGTGTATGGTCTTTCATTAGCTTTTACAGTAAAACGGGTAGGCCGAGTGTTTGCAATTGCAGCAGTAAGAAACGAGAGCTTTCCTTAAAAAAAATGTGCCTTTTCCTTGCTTCTGAAAAACATTTCAAAGAGTTTCCAACAAAAAGAAGACTATAACGGGTTAAAGGAAGTTAAGTAGTCCTGAAGAAAGGGACCTACAGTAGGAAGGTAAAGATTTTAAAGAATTACACTGACCGTGTTCCTGTTTCAACAGCATTTGTCTATGACTTTAGATGAAACAGATCATCTCCTTTCTTGAAAAGGATAAGAAAAAAAAGAAGAAAAAACTTTCTGTGGAATTGATATTTGCAGTTGCCTTTGGCCTTTGCCACTGGGCCCTTTTTAAGCAGCATAGATTAATCCTTGGATGGAGAGAAAAAGCAAAGTATGAATAAGTGTAACTAAGCACCTTTATATTTCGAGCCATGGAAGCTGTTGTGAGCAGCATGAGAGAAAACGAAAGGGCAGAATGGGACCTTTGTAGTGCGATAAAATCCCTTCACTCAGAGACCGTGTTCACAGTTGGAAGGGGATGTAACTTAAAAGACAATCTAATTAACTTGACAAAGTCTTTGTGGCCGCCTGAAATTCAGACCTGAATACACTTTTCTTTTCGGGAGAGATCCTTCCCTGAGGGGTTTTTTTTTTGCTTTGTTTTTGTGTGTGTGTACATGCACCAGGATATACATAAAAGTCCTCCTCGTTGATCGCGCATCTGGAGCTAGCTGCCACCGTGATGATTAATGCATGTTCTCTTAATGGTTTTTAAGTTTTTCCTACCAGTTTTTTCTATTTCTAGCTGATTGTAGCTTGTCATGCCTATTTAGCAGGAGGCTAGAGTTTATGAGCTTGCACAGTGGGATTCAAAGCGTGGGATTTTTGAGCAGTCGCTAAGCCGCTATAAAATATATACGTAAATGCATGGTGTTTTTTTTAACATACTTACTCTGATGCACCAGCTGCAGGCAGCTAGTGCCCATCTGCATTTGGGAACGCCAAAGCCACGGTATCTCCGTGCCGCAAGAGCGCCTAGCGTTCTGCACGTATAGAAGAGGGTGGCCCGGGGAATCCGGGCTCTCCGCCGTTCGCGGCGTTCGCTCCCCAG